GGGGGGGTAGGAAGGGACAAGACCTGCCAGAGTTTGTCTTGCAGCGAATGTTTCTGAGTTTGAGCAGAATCTCGTCGATCTGAAGAACCAAGCTTGTGAAATGTGCAAAGCCATGAGGGGCAGGGGAAGCAGGAAAGAGGTGAAGGAAGGCAAGAAGGAGATGGTGATGAAGGAAGGAAAGGAGTGGTCACAGTAACATGATGAAGAAAGGGGAGGAGGAGGAGGAGGAGGAGGAGGAGGAGGAGGAGGAGGAGGAGGAGGAGGAGGAGTACAAGACCTGCTTCTCTCTGGTGGCTTCATTCACTTCACCCGACTTGGACTTGAGATGCGTCACGACCATCAAAAAGTCTTTTTCCGGATCCCTTCGCTCGTTGAGCAGCACAAAAAGCACCGGCCCGCCTGCTCTCATCATAACTCCTTTGTGCCCCTGCCCCTGCCCTTCTTATTCCTCCTCGGGCGCTTCACTCACCCGCTTGCAGCTGCGATCGCTCGAACCAGTTACAGGTGAATCGATCTCCCTTCCAGAAGGCTGCCACCTGCAAGGCCTCAGCCAAGGAGGTGCGGACGAGGGAGGCGTGGAGGCGTGAAAGATGGAGACAAAGAGAGGAAGGTGCGGTCGAGGGAAGAAGAGGGAGAGAAAGCATGTGGGTCACCCCATCGGAGTAGTGGCCGAACTGAATGCAGGGGGACTTCTCCTTGGCGCAGTAGAGGCCTACAGGTCCGTATCATCCTCCCCCTTCTCCACGTCGATTCCTTCACCTGTGTATCCGTACTGCGCGAGGATGGGATAGAAGAAGTCAGGAAAACGATCGATCTCCTGAGCTCCCAGCAAGTCGGGGAGAGAGGTCAAGATAACTTCCAGCAGCCTCCACCTGCCAGCTGTATCATATCTCCTCCTCGACCTAACCCCTCTCTGTCCTTTCGCGCCCTCCCTTCTCCCCTCACTCCTCACTCCTTACCTTCTGTACTCCCAGTTGAGAACCACATCTGGGTTCTGGACGGCACTGAAACCTCCCCAGGACCCGTTCTCCTTCCCCTGGGTGCCGTCTGAGTGCAGGCAGAAGAGAAGCAATGGAGCAAGAAGGGGCAGATAGACAAGAAGAGAAGCAGTGGGCACGACTGGAGTGACGGCAAGTTGAAGAAAGGAGGGATGTGGGAGGTCCTAGGGAGGCAGGGGCGAGGTCGGGGCTTACAGGATAAGGAGTCTGATCTGAGGGCCCGGAGCTCAATCCTTCGGCAAGCATGTTGAACTGCATCGCGAGAAACTCCTTGTCCTGTTCCTCAGGCATGCTCTCTATGAACTTTCTCGCCTGCTGCCATGCCCTTGGGAGGAGGGAAGCCTGCGAGATGTCGCTGAGTCATCGGAGGAAGAGGAGGATACGGACAGACGCACCTCATCAGTCTGACTCATGGCGCTCTCAGCGTCTCTGATCCGCTTCTCCACACTCTGAGCAGGAGGTTCAGCAGATATTGACGAAAGGGGACAAGGGAGACCTCAGGGTTTAGCTGCACGTGCTCAAACGTTCTGTTGCTCCTGGAGAGAACGAGTCTTATCAGGAGGATGAAAGAAGATGATCAGGATGAAAAAGAAAGCTCGAGAGTGGCTGGGGAGGGAAGAGCAAGAAAGTCAAGAAAGGACGAGAAGGATGTAAGGATGAAGGAGAAGGAAGCAGGGGGAGGGGGGGAGGGAGGGAGGGAGGGAGGGAGGGAGGGAGGGAGGGAGGGAGGGAGGGAGGGAGGGAGGGAGGGAGGGAGGTTCACCAGGTGCCCCATCCCCAGGAGCCAGACTGCGTCCTTTGAGGTCCACCGCCTGTTAAAATCCGCAGGGTCAGCGCGATGGAAGGGAAGACAACTCTAGCCACTTGCCTGCGGGTGTTCGGACGGGTCCGTTCTCCTCGTCCTCCCATCCTCCCCATCCTCCCCATCCCACGCCACCCACAGCCTGCATCAAGTCCAGCCCCGTGTAGTACTCGAACTCCCAAAATCCGAAATCTTCTTCTTCGTCCTCCTCGTGCGCAAGGCTCCTTTGGATCCCTTGCACCCACCGCATTGTCAAGTAAACTCCTCCGTCGCCCTCACAGTAAAGGGAAGGCGTGCGGGGCAGGAGGCAGTGCTCCATGCCGCTCCTCTGACTCTTCTCCGGGTGGTTGATCAGGTTCAAGTCCACGCCAGCAGCGAGGTTGCGCATGGAGGCGCACTTGAGGAGCTTGAGGTCCATTAGGGAGCGATGGGAGGACGAGGGTGTCAAGGTCGAGCTTCGAGTTCCGGAGTGACACAATGACAACGAGCTTCTAGTCTCGAGAACCTGCATGGAGACTCAGGTTGACGCACCCGCAGAGGAGGAGGAGGAGGAGGTTGTGGTGGTGGTGGTGGTGGAAAGTTGGGGACAAGAGCTCGAGGATTAAAAGATACAGCTAAGTGTAGCGCTGGTGGACGCAAAGACGGGGGAGAGGATACGGGAGCTTTCAAAAGAGGACACCTCATCGTTGGATACGAGCTTAGCCTTCACAAACCATCCTTTGAGATCGTCCTTCCCTTCAGATCTGCACAGCAAACCAATCACATCGAAAGGAGCAGCTTCTTGCTTATTATCACTTTCGGTTGTTCTCTTTGAACACTTTGCCAACAAACTCGTCATGATCGGAGCAACCCCTGTAGGCATAAAGCAATCATTTCATCTTCATTCTCCCCTCCGCAATCATCCACTCCTTTTCCTTCTCTCACACTCTTCCACTTCTACATCTCTCCCTCCTCTCTCCTTTCAATCATTTTGGTCGTCCTCAGATGCATGACTTACCAGGAGGCGCTGGAATGTCTGGGCGGTCCTAACATGTAGGCAAAACCTTGCTTTGAAGCAAAAAACCCTACGATGGGATATTAGAGAAGAAGCTTCCTCCTCCTCCTCAATAAAACAACTTACCATAAACTGACAGCATTCCATCAGGTTTGAAGACGATTTCTCCTATCGTGTATCGAGAGATCTGACTTCCAACGCAACCAAACACAACCCGGCAGAGGCCTCTCGTCATGATCGTTGGCCCATCTCCCGCCAGATCTCCATTGCGAAACCTCGGCCCGCACGCGTTGGGATTTCCGACTAGCGTGTCCACTCCCTCGGCTCGGAAGCTGGCGAGGATCTGCTGGTCGATCTTCCCTCCCTTCTGACAGATCCACTCGCCCACCTGCAGCAGCTTCAACCCTCTCGTCTTCTGCATGGCAGCAGCGATATTCAACCGTACCTGTCCCATGTCGATCCCTTGCTTGACACCATCCAGGCATGCAGATTTCTCATTACTTTGCAAGTCGAGGAGGATCTAGAGCAGCAAGGTGTTCAGCCGGCCATGAGGCAAGCACAAGTACTGATCACCTCATGGTAGACGACGTTGTTCAAGTAGTCAATCCAAGACGAGAGGTCCGTAGCTTCATTTCTCGAGAGCATCTCGGATTTCTGCTCCTGGAAGACGTTGGCCAAGAAGTTCTCCCACACCTTTGACAGTGAATCTTGCAGGAAGAACTGCTGAAAGATCGAGTTCTGCACCACCAACACACTTCCGTGTCTGTAGATGAGCTGCAGCATCGATCACACACTCTTCGTCACATCCATCAGCAGCTACCTGCCCGTTCTCTGCGTACTTCCTCAAGAGAGCCCAGGAGCTGTTCATGTCACCGTTGTGCATGGTGCTGTGCTCCTTGTTGTGCCCCGTGACCTCTTGGAAATCTGCTGGAGAGAGGAGGAGGATGACGCGATCGGGATATCTCTGCTTGAAGTCGACCACAGCACGCGCCACTCGTACATCCTCGTCGCCCTTGGTGATCTCGATTTAGAGCACGTCAAGGAAGGCGAGTCGAGCTTCACCTTATTAAAGACTCCACCGCAGAAGACCACGACACACTCGTTCCGGAACTCCAACCTCTTCTCGGGAACCTTGAGAAGAGCAGAGTCAGAGACGGCTGCAACAGCGCTGGCCAACGAGAATCTCTATGGAGGGTGGACGAAACAGAGAATCTCTATGGAGGGTGAACGAAACAGAGAATCTCTATGGAGGGTGAACGAAACAGAGGGCATCATACATCTGGGAGACACTGACATCACCTGGACCTTCTGCCGTTTGTCGGTGTGGGAGCATTCTTCATGATCCTCCTGGTCGCGCTGGCCCCTACTGCACCCTAACTTGTCCTCGAATTCATCGCCCCATTTGATGAACTTCGAGAACTGGACATAATCCAAAAGGATGTCGTAGTTGCCTCGCAGGTCGGATACGAAGATCAATGTCCTCTCCTGTTTCATGTTGTCTGCACTGGTTATTGCTCACGAGATGAGTCAATTTTCAAACTTTGGGGAGTGTTCCCATCACTGTCAAAATTAAAACATATCGTCAGAATTTCTCTTTGAGCGCGAGGATGACGTCTGCAGAACCCTTCTAAGTCATTTATACAATCGCTCTTCTGACATCATATCATATCCTGTTGTGCTGGCCCCTCAAAACTTTCACGCACATCTAATCGATGCAGATCTTGTATTCCTCTGCAGGGACCTTCTACCCTCAAGGAAGTGTTTCACAAGTTGAAATCTCTCTAAATCCTTCCAATTCATCGTAAAGGCCTTGTTTGATCGATATCGTGACCGTAAAATACTTCATGTCCTGCGTTTTACAATTTGCCGCATTGCGAATTTGTGTTGAATCCTGGTTGGCAAATGAGATCCTCCAGATGGCATGTGAGATCAGACCGTTCAACTTTTTCCTAACTTCACATCGGTTATTATAATGCTCTTTCATAGTCTAAATTCCAGGTTAATTTCGTGACTGCACACGGTGCGAGCGACCAACTAATTTCTCTTGAGCACTAAGCAGTGATTGAAACCTCCAAGAACGGTGATAGAGAGATCTCGACCTCGATCGAGTGAGCTAAGTTATCTACCTGCCATAAGTATGGTTTTCACGTTCTCTTTCTCCTCTCCTCTCCTCGCCTCCCCTCGATTCCTCGTTCCGCACTCGCTCGCCATGTGTAGTAACTCTTTCCACCACCCACCAATTAGATCGCTGTCGCAACTACCCCCTCCTCACCCCGTGATATACAAGGCTTGATCCGTTCCTACCACCCCTACCCCAATTTGAAGAGCTCACAAACATACTGGAATGACCACCGTTACTCCTTTTAAAAATGACCCCACCTATGGCCGATACCCCACCATATTGCATTTTAAAACTACACCAACCTACCGAATCTATCCTACCACTCCACCTGGACGGGGTACCCCTAGACCTTGCCACCCCCCTACCCCCACCTTCGATTGACATAGTATGTTCTCTTGTATAAAATACATTTATAATATCATTATTGTCACTTTCAGTTAACGAGAAAAGATACCACCACTGAGCGCCGTGGCAAGGACGACATGGGGTGAAATGCTGGAACAGCGTGAGAAACAAGGATGGAAAAACCATGAGCTGATTGCAGTGAGAGACAGCAGAATCAATCTTTGGCACAGAAACAAGCGCGGGACTATTCCTCTGTGGCAGGCCAAGGATCGATGACCAATTCACGTCCGGACCGAGCTGATAGACTGCGAAACAGTCTGGGGACTACCGGCTCTCTAACTGACTCAACAGGGAGACATGCGACCTTGGAATCGGTTTATATGAACACAAACCACGAACGAAACGGAAGGTATCAACCGTTAAGTGTCCTATCAATCAGGCCGATGCGCTAGGCCATCTAGCAAGCTGGTTACATCCCTTCTTGCATCCAAAGTGCACATTCATAATCCAACACTTGACGCCGAGCCTGTCATAGTCATGACTAAGTCAAGATTTACGACAAGTATCGATCAGATCAGACCTGTTCGACAAAGCGCTGCCTTTCGAAGCCATTACTGCGATCGACGCCATCCCAACGATAACCAGGTGCAATTCCATACCTTCAAAAGATGGGTCAATCCAGGTACCATAAAGCCAACCCCACCTGTTGGGTGGATATGGACCCTGATACTTCGGCCTGTTTGAACTTTGCGACTGTAGAACAATCAAATAGTGTGCAAGAGATCACGAGTTGCAAACCTTTTTGATCTTTCCTGCCATAGGATCTCCCCATCTTTCGACCGCCTTGAGCTCATCATTCATCTCCTTGTCTTCGACTGTTCGTGCAAACGGCTTGTTCTTTTCTTCCTCAATGCGATCCTGCAATGCTTTCCTCTCTTCCATTTGCACCAATCCTTTTCCCCAGACCATATTCTTCAATTCATACTCTTCGCGTTCTTGTGCAGTCATCTTGCTTGGGTCAACCTTCTTCCCCTTCTTGTCACGATAGACCGTTTCTGCTGTCTGGGTCAAAACAATCGTCAGTAGTAGGCATTCATAGGATCGCCATATTACCCTGCCAGTTGTTTCATCATCAAGGGTCTTGAAGCGTAAATCTTGCTCCTTCTTCTTATCCAACATAGCCTGTGTCAGCTCCTTTCCAGAGACGTAACCTGCCTTCAATCCATCCACCTTTCTGCCATCTCCTGACAAAGTTCTTAATCGCGAGTTTCAAGACATGTTCATACACTACTTGCACGCTTTTCATCTTCTGAATCCGAATCATGTCTGGTTCGCTTTGACGACGGCATGGAATCAGCGGCCTTCTGAATGAAATTTCTATTACTACGATGTGAAGACTCCATGTGAATACCTGTCGCCGCGGGGGGCTGACGTCACTGTCGGAATCATGCCTCGTTCTGCTGCTGATCGGTCCAGACTTGTTGGTCTCATCCTCTGAGTCCGAATCATGTCTTGCTCTCTTTCTCGGAGGACTTTGGTCGTTGTTTTCCTTGGCTACCGGAGCTCTACGTCGGGGTGGGCTCAAATCTTCCCGCCGAGAAGGAGAATTCCTTCGACGCGGGGGGCTTAAGTCGGCTGATTCGATGGCTTGTCCCCTTTTACGTGGCGGGCTAAGATCTGGGCTGTCATGTCTTCGTCGAGGAGGACTCAAGTCAGCTTCACGTTCAGTCGAAACATTCCTCCGAGGCGGACTGAGGTCCTCATCAACCCGAGACCTCCCGCGAGCTCTTGGAGGGCTCAGATCGTCGTCCTTGACCCTAGGAAGAGACCAGTCACATACTTGCATCATAAGATACGCTTCCAATCCAATCAAGTTGTGGATTTACCTGCGAGCCGGAGAGAGATCCCTGCCCGTGTTCTTCTTTCGATTCTTGTCAACAACATTGCCATCGGCATCAACAGTAATCCACTCTTCATTCATTGATCCGTCTCCAACTACTTGAACAGATGCAAGACCCATGTCTTCATCATTGACTCCTTCCAAAGCTGCATCTACTATCACCGCCTGATCATCACTGAGCTCGTCGTCTGAATGTCGTCGACGCTCCTTTACTTTGGCCAGCGCAAGGCCACCCAAACCCTTATCCTCGTCCACAATCTTGATTCCTTTGCCTGGTTCCTCTCCTTTCCTGACTTTTCTCTTTTTTTTCTTTTGTTTCTTATCATCAGCATCGTCGTCTCCACCTTGGTACTTCTTCAGATAATCATTCATTTGCTTCTGTTTCTCAGTCATTTCACCACTGGGCTTAGTTTCTCGATTAACGACAAGTTTTCCATTGTAGACAGGCAAACTTGTCATGTGCCCTGTCTTCCGATGGTCTTTACCACCAATGTAATCAGCGAGAGCGCCAATCAGATCTCCCATATTGCCTGTAATAGAGTTACTGTTGAATCATGTCAAAACCGAGTCAAGAGCCAATATCAATATCATACTTTTCACTTCTACTTCCCATCCATCCTATAACTTTCTCACACTTCCTTCGTCATCTTGTGAATGGTCTTTCTTCTTCTCTAACTCTTCATTTCACTTCGTCCTTTCAACACCTTCCTCCACCTCTTCCTTCTTTCCACATTTCCGCTGCTGCCGGCTCGAGCAATTTTTCACTCAATATCATGTAACCGCGCAACCGGCTGGCCCGGTGACGGCCCAAGTGGGCCACGGTGCGAGCGGCCGCCCATGCCGTCACCGGGGCGCCGCCGGGGCCCGGCCCGGCCCGGTCACGAGTCGATTCAGCACCTTTAGCAAGCTCATCCTAATCATGGGCCGCAGCCTGGCAGTCTGCAACCCGTCAGTTAGACGGTCCCGCCGATATACTACGTACCGTGACAATGACTATTAGTCATGAGCTTCCGATCAGTGACCGTGGCGGCCGACTCGGAGTGAATCAGATGCAGACTGTGAGGCCCGGGGGGGCATTGCACTTTCGAGCCGGGCTCATGCCGCCGCGCGTCGGACCGTCCCGGCGACTCGCGGGCCCGGGCCCGCGGCCCGCGGCCCGCCGGGCCGCCCGGGGCCAGAAACAACTGTGCCACGGTGTGCCGGGAGTCCGAGTGCACCGTCAGTAAGTCACGTGTGGCGCGGCACCACGTAACGTCGTACGGTCTCAGCCTCCGCCGGGGCCGCGGCCCGGCCCCGGGTGACAGAGCCTGTACGGTCAACTGGTGACTTCCCGCATCTATTTCCGTCACGAGTCGAAGGACACGCTGTCCAGGCCCTTTGCCTTCCGCGGCTGACCCGGTACCACCCCGGCGCCCACCGGCCCACCGGATCTAGTTTGTGGCCTAGACCACCGGGTAATAACTAAGGAAAAGAACGGGTACTGATGAGGGACTTTGTAGTAATAGCTGCCACTCTTTCCCCCTCCCTCGTTCTCCTCCTCCTCCGCTTTGCCGAGCAGATGGCGGTAGCATTATCCACCCAACGCTTCAGAAACGAGGGACAGGACCTTATGTTTCGATACGTGTATCAAGGGAATGAGATTTTCATTGCAATGGTCGATCTCACTATGATGGTCAAGAACTGTTGTCGGGCAAAGGCTCCAAGGTTACAGAATTACTTTCTTCAAAACAATGCACAGTTTGGAAGATATGTCATTCATGCAAAAATAGAAAGAAACCAGGACGAAATATACACCTGCTCTATGAAGATGATCCCAGCCCGGATCGCCATGAACTTTGTGAAGGCTATATGCTACTACAACGATTGCTCAGCCATCGTTGATTTGCTTACAGAGTTCTCGCAAGTTCACAATTGTGCTGTAGAAAGCAACGACTTGCAGACTCCAGGAAATGAAGATCAAAGACCTCAGCACGACCAGGACCCTCAGCACAACCAGGACCCTCAGCACAACCAGGACCCTCAGAGACCCGTTGGGCTTCCAGACAAGGAGAGTCAGGCGCCCGAGGAAACGCAAGACGAGGCAGACGAAACCGTCGAGACCAAGCCTGAGTCTGCCCTTGAGAGCATGTCGATTGGCGTGAAGGCGTACAAGACCGTGCTCATGCTGAGGAAGATGGTCCAGAGCGACGAGAGCAGCTGCTTCCTGACGCCAGAGGACAAGAAGATCATCATGGAGTTCCTTTCGGATGCTTTCGACATCATCCTCGAGGGCAGCCATCAGAAGAATGAGAAGATCTGGATGCGTGTGAAAATTCTCATGCGCCTGCTTGATTCGAAAGATTTGGCTGAGGGCGAAGAGAGCCACTTGCTCCGCCTGTCGCCTGAGGAAAGCAAGGCGATGAAGAAGTACACGACGAAAATGATCAAGATTATCTGTGGAAGCTTGGAGCATATGTAGCGATCCGTTTTGATCAGTCGTTTGGTTTAGTCGCGACTATTCCGCGAATAAATCTCGATATGCATCTCTCTATCGCCATCAGCTGCCACCGTGACAATACGAGAATGAAAAACACCAGCACAAACACATCTCCTTGTTGTGATGAGCCAGTATGGGCTATCTTGCACTATCTTGCGCTGACCGTCGGACTGAATGAGGCTGCCGATCTTCGCTCATCATAGACACGGTCACAGATGCTGGACTGAGTGAGGCTGCCGATCTTCGCTCATCATAGACACGGTCACAGATGCTACTGTCTTGGACCTTTTCCCTCAGTCGCGGCGGGCCACCGCAACCCCCCCCCGCCCTGACCCCCTTACCCGGCCCGGCCCCGGCGCGGGCGCGGCCCGGCGAGGCCGAATTCAGCCAGTGCGGCGGCCCCGCCGGTACGGGCCGGCAGGCCCGGCGGGCCGGCGCTGCCGCTAGAAACCACTTCCCTATCAGTAGGCCCGCAGCTCTTGTTGCGAAGGGGTGGGAGTGAGGGCAGCAGTGGTATTTAGTAGGGCGTCACCGCAATGCCGGCAACGCGAGATTGGTTGTGCTTTCAGCTGAGATAACCATGGCAGAGCGGTGATGTGCATCATGACATGGTGAACGAATGGATACAGAGTACATCCTGAGATGAAGCAGCCTTGAATGACCGGTCAGCTGTGTTATTCCATTGTGATCTCAGATCTTCCGCTTCAAACTACACCAACGAAGAATGAATGAGTGATTCATTTCACCATGTTAAGACGATCTGCGTCCTTCCGAAGGATTTCTGGGCCTTTTGAGAAATCTCTGATTATTTTCCTACCTATTCTTTATCTTGAGTTAGTTGAATGCCAAACAAATTTTTCATGGTAAGGTTATGACGTGGTGTTTTTGCATATCACCCACAAATGCCCAGGTTTTGGGATACTTCAAATATTTCCAAGAGGATGAAGCAGCAACCATCTTTTGCTTATCTGACATACCCATTTCCTCAATATGCTTGTAACAAGGACCCTAACGTAGCGTACTGCCCAGGTACAAATTTCACAACCATGCTTTGCGCTTTACGAATCATGGACACTGCAGGATGTGAGAATGCCGGAGGCGTCGATTGCTCATCAGATAGCTGTCAAACTTGCAAGAGTGCATGCACATCATTCAACTATGGAGCAAATGCATCTGTTGTAACTAAAATAGACATATCCGCGCTGACATGTCTTGCAGGTGAGTGGCTCGAGCTGCTCTGAAGCGACCTTAACATCTTCCAATTTTGCTGGAGTCTGCCTGACAAGGTCTTTTCTTTGATCAAGTTTGACGAACGAAATGAATGTAGCTTGCAGAATATTTGCTGTTGAAGGGGAATTCTCTTCATTGAGCACATACATTATGTACACGGCGATGCAATACAACTTCTCTCAGGAAGAATTCAGCAAATTCGATGTGAATGGAACTGGATTCACATTGGAGGAATGCAAAAAAGCATTTCGAGGGAATGCAGATCTCTGCATACCAATGTTTCCAAATCAAAACAACACCAATACCAGCACAAACCAAACGGTGTTGACTTATACAGACATTCTGAATTATGGCAGCTGGAATGGATCCATTATTGTTCGATCCGTTCAGCCTATACAGCCTGGAAGTGTTTTAGCCCCTGAAGGCACATTTGAAGTTTCGATGTCGGTGCGGTGGGGATACCTGGATGTCTTTGGGAAGTGGATCTACTTTCAAAACGGTTCAAGTACTTATTCCCCAGGTGGATTGACATCTTTTCCCACTTACATTTAACGGTTTTTCAGGCTTACTTTCTCAATGTCTTTCAATTGTTGAAAGTCAGGGACTTTGCAACTTATCAAATTTGACCAGTTACGACATATCAGAAGTTTCTTTCAGGTGTGTTTTGATTTCTCCTTCATTTTTTCTTGTTAACCTGTGCAACACATAGGAAAGTGGGTGCTACTGGAGAAGAAAAGCGAATCTTGTTTTTCAGAGGCAGCTACAGCCAAGTTGTCAAAGCATTCCAATCCTTGCACTTCAGAGCATTGGATATTACGTCAACAACAAACATTTTCGAATCCAAGGTATTTACATATTGTTTTTCATAGTCCATGCTGTGCATTAAGCTTAGATTTCCTCAATAGGGGCCGGGCTGGAACTCAGACAGAGTTCGGCATCTTATGTTGAGTCCAACAAGCACGGCAGTACAACCATGGTTTCAAATCGATTTCTGGATTGGGTCACAGACAACTCCCGTTGACACAGAGAAGCCTCCTGACATGAGTCAACTCATATGGGTCATACCTGTCAACAACCCTCCAACCATCACTGACCCACAAGTTGGGTATCTTCCTGGATGTATTTCTTCTCCTCCTTGCGATACCAACTCAAGCAAATTTGTTTTGAGTGGTCCCCAGTATTACTTTGGCCAATATTGGTTGTGGGAAGGCTCAGCAAATCAACTACGATTAACAGGAATCGAAATAGATGATCCTGATCTTGATGAAGGTTGCTATTTTCAAGATAGTGCACCCTGTAAATGGATTGACAACCCGAACGCATATTCCTGTGGAACAATGAAAGTTGAGCTCACAGCAGACATTGGAAGAATTCTTCTCAATTCTCGTGACGGTTTGATTTTTCTTGAAGACTCTCCATCCAGGATAGTAGCGACAGGTCTCAAGTCTAAGGTGGCCAATGCAATACGAGGAGTACTGTATCGCATTGATTCTGTCATCAACATCATAAGTGGCAATAGCAAATACCTCTTTCAGAACTCTCAGCACCTTGGCAGCACTCCAGACTTCTTGCGAGTAACTCTGAATGATCAGGGAAATTTCGGAGAGAACGGTTTTTCTGAATATGCTTCCACGGCTGCTCACAAGAATGGTCTGATAATCAACATCACAATAGCTGCTGTGAACAACGCCCCTTCGATTTCAATGGGGAATTCATACACAGCTTACGAGAATAGACCTTACAGTGTTGCTGGAATCTCAGTGAATGACATTGATGTTGACGAAGTGATAACATCTCAATTCGCCAAGGAGCTTTGGCTGGGTTATTTATACAATCTTCCATATGAAAACAAGATCAAAATTACAGCACAGCTCAATGGTTACAACAACGGAGTAGCTCGTGGTTTGATATACATCAATTCGGACGGATCTAATCTTTACTTGGTTAGTAATGGCTCTCATGTCTTCATTAACGTATCTTCAACATTTGTGCAAAGTCATGCATGTTCGTTCCAGGATGCGATTTCTCGCCCTGGATCATATCAATGTGAGCAGGATACTCCTGCATCGGGAATACTCTGCATGGGGTCATGGGACAACATCACTTGCAGAAGAATTGGAGGCGGGCGCTTGCAGTTCGTGAACGACTCGAATACTCGGTTTCATATCACCGACTTCTCTAGCTCACTCCTGCCATATCTCAATAATGTGTCAGCAGGAGTGCAGATTGAATTTGGGGTTGTGACCTCGGGAGGGCTTACAATGCTCGGCGAAGTGAGTGCATGGGATGCGAACAGCTCAGATATCACTCTAGGCAGTGCGAGCACGGATATTCGCGGACTGTCCGGGGGGATCATACAATGGCAGATGTATTTGAAAGGAGCCTATTCGAATTGTACATATCAAGGCCCTTCGCTTGCTGAAGTTTGTATCTCTGCCGCAGGTAACTCATTGTTTCCTGCTCAAGTACCTTGCTCTGGGGAAGCTAGTTCGCAGACAAGTTGCGAAATGCTTGGAAACGGGCGCTTGCAGTTCGTGAACGACTCGAATACTCGGTTTCATATCACCGACTTCTCTAGCTCACTCCTGCCATATCTCAATAATGTGTCAGCAGGAGTGCAGATTGAATTTGGGGTTGTGACCTCGGGAGGGCTTACAATGCTCGGCGAAGTGAGTGCATGGGATGCGAACAGCTCAGATATCACTCTAGGCAGTGCGAGCACGGATATTCGCGGACTGTCCGGGGGGATCATACAATGGCAGATGTATTTGAAAAACACGTTTTGCACCATTCCGCAACCATGTGGTTGCAAAGTGATTGATATGTGTGACAAAAATGGCGAATTTTTGCTCTTTCTGAATTATTCAAACACCCAGACACGTCTGTACACAAATGACCTCATTGCATCGTTGGCAAAAATAAACAAGACATGTGGCGGACTTCCACTTCGAAATCTGCCAGCACCATTTGCAACTTCTTTAGGAAAAAGATGTTCCTCAAATTACGATTGCAGTAATATGAACTTTACCAAATGCAAACCAGGAGTGAATTGTTTATGTTGTGGAAACTTATCAGCTGTTTGTTCGCAAGATTCTGATTGTGAAATGTATAGTAATCCTTGGGAAAAGGTGCAATTGTGTGGTTGCACGAGACAATTGGATTCTTCTTATGTGTTTATAGACAAACGTTGCTGCGCAGATACAAGGATCTCGTGTTCCAACGACTCTGACTGTGGATTTATTCTAAACAATTCTTCCTGCGGGTGCCAACCAACCTTTCCTGTTTGCGGTCCGTTTAAGAGTGGGGAATCGTATGATATTCGCTTGGGACAGCCCTGTACTTATCGCGGGGTGAAAATGACTCAGAACGGCAAGGTTACCATGCACGATTCTTTGAGTTGTATCTCTCCCATTTTCGCAATTGAAGGAACTTCAAGAAGTGAATATGTCAATCAAATCTTGTTTTCTCAGAGTTTGTATGACCATAACGAGCTTTCAGGGAGGGGATCTACACGGATTGAGTTTTATTCACCACTGCTGTATGCCCAAGCTGCCTTGCAGTCATTGATTTACCTTACCTACAATCCCGAATTTCCAAATTACAACCGATTGTATAGATTACCAAAGGATGAGAGAAATCCGGCTACATTCAACATCAATGCTGATGATTTTGACAAGCTATCGGTCACTGCAAATGACATGGGTAATTCAGGGGGTGGGGCTCGCGTGGAAAATGAGGTCACCAGCTCAATGCAGATTATCACCATGGCAGTCAACAATCCACCGGAGATACACGCTCCATCTGTGATCGCGGTTCGGGAAGATGTCCCATACAGTATTTTGACTAGGCTCGATGCCAGCCCTCCACTTCATGGAATTTTTCTTACCGACCCTGACCAGAATGACTACGGGTTCAATGATTCAAAAGTGACTCTCGAAAAGACGTTGGGCTTTGCAGTGAATCTTTCTGTGGATCATGGCTGCATTTTTGTGAATGAGAACTTTCTTCAATATGGTCATGAATATGCTGGTCGGAATCTAACCGACGCTTTGGGAAACACGATTTACATCAAAGTCGGCGACTCTCAGTGCAGCTTGATAGACCCCTTTGCTACAGACGGATGTACTATTCGATTGCTAGACTACGGGCAACCAAAGGAAGGCTTGCACGCTGTCAAGTGCATCTCACAGTGTACTTCGGTCACCTTTGCTCCGTGTTATTCTGCAACACCACCTACAGTTGATCGTCACTGCTATGGTCGTGGTTGTGCAAAGTTTCTAGCATTTGAAGGACGATTTGCTGATATCAATAATGTGCTATCAAACATCACTTATGTCAGTGACCCCAATTTCAACACTCATTACGGGGTACAGGAAAGTTTGTTGATCCAAGTTACGGACAACGGAATACTGGGAGACCCGCCTGATATTCCTCATCGTGCTCAGCTAAGAATTCCGATTGTTGTTGAACCTGTCAACGATGCTCCCATCATCGGACGTCTGCAGAATGCGCAATGCATAGACTACAGGGCTGATGGCACATACGATCTGTCTCTGCTGTACAGCGAGACTAGATTTTTCTCAATTTCATCTGTCGATAGCATCGACGTCAACGAAGACACTGAATTTACCTTGATGCCTGACAGGTTATGGATATCCGATCCTGATGCTGAAGAAGCAACTATTCGGAGCAGGACTGTCAGTCATTGTGCTGGTCCATGTGGATTGGTAATCAACGATAAGAAGCGAAATTGTTGCGTCTCAACAAGTTGCCCTTATCTGTGCAAAAAGATTGAAACTGTCACGCCAGGTGGAATTCCATCCGATGTCATTGTTTACCTATCAGTTTCAAACGGCAAATTAAGCTTTTACCCACCGCCAACTTACTACTTCATTCCAGAGATTGTCTTCTTGACAAACATCTCAAAGCAGATAGTTGAAAACAACGCCAGCAATGTTCAACTTTGTACAAACCAATTGGCATGCATGAAGAATCAGACTGAACTGTGGATTAGAACCAGGTTGCCTTACTTGCAAAAAGCTCTTAGCGCAGGTTATCTGAGATACATTGGGAATCAAAATTATAATGGAGACGATAATCTCAACATTTGGGTCTATGACAACGGGTACTCTGACGTGACGTACACAAACCCCCGCTCATCTTCAGCATCGCTAGCCATTCAGATCGTCGCTGTGAATGATCCTCCAGCAATACAGCATCCAGGAGGACCAGGCTGTAGTTGCAATCCAAGTTCAGGAATGTGCAGCTGTTCCTCAACCCCGCCTTTGCTCTATGCGTCCAGTGATGCGTGCATGAACGACTGGATGAAATATGGGTTCTCAGATCCCTGGCCTTCTGGCAGAGGACTAGACTGCACTCATCCCAACTTGTCATCAATACCAAACACCAGATCCACGTACAGTGGGTACAAAGATTTGTCCACCAAGATTGTGTTTTCGGATGTGGACATCAACCAGGGGCAATATGCGAATCTTACTGTAGACTTGTCGATTGCACGTCCGGGTGCTGGAGACTTTCAAATCCGCAATCTCTTATCCACAGTGATCTATTATCAGTATGAGGACAATGCAGGAAGATGGCACATGGTGATGCAAGGCACGATATCGGACATCAACTCTCAGATGGATCAGTTGTACTTCAATCCAAACCCGACGTATTCAGGTCCGTCTCCTTTCGAAATAGTTGCAAACGACAACAACAATTGGGGAATCTGCACTCCTCGTATTGGTGCGAAGCCATATCGTTGCAACCGAGACAAGTGCTTCAACCCTTACAGCGGTAACTCCTACGGTCATTACTTCTTCTGCGGTAGGCCAGTAGCTTCAGATGTCACAGACTTTGGGTTTTTTCCTGGTGCCTCCTTTGCATGCGAATCTTTGCTTCCGGCGGAACCGGCGGTGCTCTATTCCGGGAGCAACTGGTCAGGACCATGGTCCTGCTTGGGTTGTGGAAGTTACGACATCTTCACTCAATCCATCAAGAACTCCAACCAAAGCAACCCAAGCCTCCCTGGCGTTACCAGAGTCATCGTCGACGCTACTGTCGGCAGTTCAGCCGCATGCCAGTTTTCCGATTGTGTTTCCTGCAACTCAGCTACGAAGGCTTTTGCAGGACCGCACGCTGACGGTTGTGGATGGTGTCCAAGTTTCTGCGGCGGAGCGGGAAAGTGTATGATCGGAAAAGCCATGCCGATCTTCGAAGCTTGTCCCACAGACGTGGCGACAGGACGATCCTATCGCCAGTGTTCTGCATCCTCCAGCAGCCTGATTCTTGATCTTGCGGTAGCGCTGCCAACGGCCACCTTAGGACTCTACCTCATCTATGCTCTAAGCAAGTGGATGCAACGAAGACACGGAAGCATGGTTGTTTATCTCAAGCGAAAGCAACTTGACTTCATCCTGACTGGCAGGAAATTGTATCTTCTGCCTCCCGATGGAGCTCATTATCGAGAATTTTTTATTATGATCATCGTTACCGTGATCGCTGGGATTTTCTTTAGCGGTGTGCTGACTCAACCTGGGGGTCCCTATGACTACCATTCATCTTTCTACCTCGACTCATTGACGTCGTTGAGTATGACAGTCGATTCTTGTAATCTGCGTTTCTTACCTACGAGGATATTCCCTTATCCCACAAACCTTATTTCCGCATTGAAAGTCCGACTAGCATTTCCAATCGATCAAAAGATTGTTTTGGCCTCGAATTCTTGCTCTGCGGCAGCAACGCTCTCGTTGCTCAATAACATGCCTGCAGCCACCAAGTATCGGGACTACTACTGCAACATTCAATTCATCATTCCTGATCGGTACGTGTTCCCGCGGCTCTCCATTCAAGCTGTGGGAAACAACATGACGACTGTGAGGGGAGGCCCGATGGACCCCGACACTAAGAACTTTGGAATTGATTTTGGTGCGAATGAATTCATCATGCAAGGCGACTATCTTTCTGCGCGGCTTGACAACATTAGCGCCAAACATCTCAAGTATGATGTCTTGCATGGAACACTGGTGGCAACAAATGTCTCGAACACGCCATATGGGACTTTCAAAAGTATAGATGCCGATATGATCGTCACGTCTCCCAACCCCACAACTGTTTGGAGTTGGCAGAAGTCAGCAAATATGGTCTGCCTTTCGGCCTCAACCCTGTTCGTGGATTCAGCTTGCAGTGAACAATGTGGTTATCCCAACCCGGTCGAAATGCCCACTGGTCTGTCGGATGTTGGTGCATCGAATACTATTCATCGATATTATAGAAGAAGAAGTCTGCTGTCTACCTCGTGCACTGGCGTTCCTGCCGTTCCCGGGTGTGTCAATCCCGACTGCACGTACAATCAGAGCAAGCTCTGCCTCTGCAAGCCGAACTGCGACATGATCCCCGCCTCCCAGCTGAGCTATGATGGTGTCAGTGGGGTTCGAGGAAGCTGCAACGATCTAGGTCAATGCTGTCGGATGATCTGCCAAGGGTATTCCCTCGCTGACATGTTCCCCTACCCCAACTCAGTGCGATGCGGCGCTTGTGTTGCAGCGACTTCCTGCTCACCTCCCACCTGCGGGTCTTGGACTTCTGGCAATCTCGAGCAGCAATGGTGGTTCACGAGCGATCAGGGTCAGATCTCAGTCACTGTGGCTGCGCAGCTGGAGTCTAATCAAACTCTTCAGAACTCTTACAACGGCAGCCTGCCTCAGGGCGGTTCGATCTCGACCATCAACCTGGATTTGCGGGATACAGACAAGCAGGTTCTCAACGCAGAGTTCCATGCAGGAGGAAGCTCGGCGCCTTCAGATCAGATCGTCTGGCTCAGTCTTTACGGCCCTGGTGCGCCTCTGAGTACGGACGGAGACTATGCTTGGATCAAGGATGTCCGATACCTGGTCCTGCCCGAGTACTTCTTGAAAGCCGTCTCATACTCCCTGCTGGCCCCCAAGAAGCGTCTGATCTCGCTGGGTCTGATGCCAGGCTTCTGCCCTCCCTTCCTAGCCAGCAACGACCCTGCTGCGACCACGAGGCAAGTGGCCTTGCAGCAGCTTCTCCTCAACACCATCCAAGAGTATCCTGCGAATGTCGCGACCAGGCCGATCCCTCAGGGCAGCGAAGTCGTGTGGGTCCCAGTGACAGGATCCCCGGCTAAGTTCGTGCTGGATCCTTCCACAAGTCAATACTTACCTACGGTCATCAGCATGTGGACTGGCGCTGGACCCTCGATGTACACGTTGCTGCTCCTGTCCATCTTCGTTCCGATGGCTGCCTCTCTTGTTGCTACCTTTGGTCTGTTGAGAGCTGGTCGATCTTTCCTGCAGAAGTTCCGAGAGAAGGCGCTTGAAAAGGAGAACACGTACCTCAACATCTACGAGCAGGCCAAGTTCGACCACCTCCCCTTCCATGAGCAAGTTGACCGACTTGAGATACCGGCTGAGACCAGGAAGGAAATGACCGGGCGCACATCCTTCTTCTTTGTCATAGATCAGATCTTCATGTTCTCTGAGCGCACCACGCTCATCAATGAGGCCTTTCGTGTCCTCATACACCTCACCATCATCACGACCCCCGCGGGATACATCTACTATGTCTCCAGCCACTGGAAGACAGCGTACCTGACTTTCCAGTGCCGTTACACGATCAGCCAAGGAGAGTGTCTGTCTCAGACTGAGGTAGGATCCATGTTCCTCAACTACATGCTCCTCGTGTACACCCTCGTGGCTCTCACGGAACTCTCTGCTTACTACCTCAAGTTCCCCTACCTTCGTGGCAGGGCGATTCTCCGAGGGCTCTTCTACTGCACAGTCTCTGCCATCATCTGCTTTTCCCTGCTGTTTCTACTTCTCAGCACGACGTGGATCATGCTGGGGATGCTGCTGCTGCCCTCCATTGTGGCTCCTTACTTCATCGCTGAGTTCATGATCTCTCTCATCCTCTTGAGCTACATCGTGAAGCTCGTCAGGTTCCGAGCTCGAGTCAGCGTCCACACCAGGAGGAGGCTCGAGCTCTTCAAGAAGTCGTTGGTCCCTCGCTTCCCGTCTCGGGTGGTGGACGTGGTTGTGGAGATGAGCCTGGAGGCGGCGCTGAAGGAGAACGGCTTGAGCTACCGGGGCATCGTCTTGAACACGGTCGGCTTGATCACAGCCATAGTCATGATCTACTCCTTCATCCTCGTAGGCTTCAAGGCCTTCAGTGCCGACGGCTCGTCGGGGCTGCTCGACTCGATTCTGATTCTGCTGGTGTCGCTGGGGATGCTCTCGTCCATCAACTCGGAGAACAAGCGAGAGCAGGTGGAGGAGAGCACGCGGGCCATGAGCGACCGAGTGCTCGAAGCCACCTCCAGCACGCTCAGCATCATTCAGGACCAGCTGCATGTGGCAGAGAAGATGATCAAGAGTCAACAGCACCTCGAAGACCCCAAGGAGGAGGAGCTGCCTAGGGGAATGATCGTTGACTGACTTGCCTTTGATAGAACCTCAGGTTCATTTCTTGTAGATTATTCAGCATGCTCTAAATCACTTTCAACTCCAAGTTAACAAGAAGGATGCTCATCAGGTGAACTCAAGCGCTGGTTGTCATGCCCTCCATCCCCTTCGCCACAAGTCACTTTCTGTCTCCCCCAGACTCCGCCGCCTCCGGCTCCCTCCTTCCTTCCACTTTTCACTCCATCTGTCTGCTCCTCGTTTACCCTCCCCCCTCCCCTCCGCTTTCAATCCGCTGGCTCACTCGTTCCTCCTCCTCCTCCTTTCGTACCTTGAAGAACCAGTGGGACGGGTTGAGAATGCCCTCGTTCTGCTGTCTGATGACCTGCCTCCACGTCACCCCCCTCCCCAGGCTCTCGCGGTTCTTTGCCTGTCCATACAGCTCGAACCCTCCACAGACGAGCTGCGTGCCATTGATGCTGTTGCCTCCAGTCGTTACAACCTGCCACTCATGAGCCCGAGGACGAGGAGGAGAAGCTGAAAGACTTTGAAGAAACGCGCTGCCTCCACATGGACTGGGATCTGCCACGTTCGGACAGCGTAGGGGCCCTTGAGGCTTTCATCCCTGGTCCTGCTTGTTGAGGAGCAGAAGCAGAGCAAGAGGATCCTCTCACATGGCGTGTGTTGACGCTTGCGTCCAAGACTCTCCGTCAGCTGACACCAGGAACTTCCAGTTCCTGAGCTGCAGGCGAGGAGTCTCGTGTTAGTGTGAAGGACGAGCTGAGAGAGGAGAGGGGAGGACAAGGGAGGGAGGGAGGGAGGGAGGGAGGGAGGGAGCAGAAGACGGGCAGGCGACGAACATGAGCTCCTGACGAGTAGCCATGTCGCAAACAGTAGTGAGTCGGTTGCAGCTGAATGCCTTCGGGTAGTTCAACCTGATGCAGTTCAGCGTGACGGACGAGGCGGATGAAAGGAGAGGATCAGGGGACGGAGGGAGAGAGCTGAAGCAGACAGAGGAGGAGGCGGGCAAGTAGGACAAGATGGGAGATACGACGGTGGAGGCCACCTGAAACCATGCTCCCTCCTCACTAGCTGACCACGAGTCAACCCGCTTGTCGGGGTCCACACAGAGCTGGAGATGGTCAGGACGTCATGCACGAGGCCAGCTAGGAGAATGTAGCTCACCACATCTTGCAGCTTCCCTTTGGTCCAGCTGGTTTGATAAGGCAAGTCACAACCAACAGAATCTTCGAAAGGTGGCGATCAATTTACCTGGAGCCAGTGACCCGCACAGCAGAGGATTCTGAGGCCGGGTTGATCCAATCCCTGGTTCCTCCTGCCGCAAGGACATCAACTTCCTCGTCCTCGTCCTTGTCCTTCGCCTCGCCCCCCCGCAACCTTTCCCTCCTCGATCTCCTCCTCCTCTATCTTCAATTTACCGCACGAGCCAAGCCAGTAGAACAATCCGCACCTGAGAAACCATTAGAACATTACTGCACCCTCTTTCTTTCCCATGGCAGCCCCGTGTAATCCCTCCATCCCCCGTCCCTCCGTCAGTTCTCCTTACTTATCCATCATGTGCTTCCCGCTCCAGTAGAAAATCTGCAGAATTCCTTTGAGTTCATTTCCTTACTTCCTTCTTCTCCCCGTCTCAACTTCTTTCCATCCCCATTCCCCTTCCGTTTCTGCCTCCTACTGCCTTCTCATCCTCACCCTTCTACACCCTCATACCGTGTTAGGCGCCGGAAGCTTGATGGTGCCTCCACTGCCAGATTGCTCGAGCTTCTTGCTGAACAAAAAAGAAATAAGTAGAATGACAGAGCAGAGAAACAGCCCGAGGCTGAGAGAGTGAGGAAGAAGAGAGACAGGAAATGCGAGGAATGGAGTGAAGGAGGGAGAGACTGTGAAGGAGAGGCAGGAAGAGAAATTTGAGAGGAGAGAGCGAAAGTGAGTGGGACGAGCAAAACCTGCCTTGTTTCCTCACCTCTGAGATGTTCGGATAAAGAGCCCTCCGTTGTACCCAACCTCGACCCGTCCTTCCGCCTGTTTTCGCGTCAGACCTTTTGTCACCTGCTTTTTCCCCTTCTCTTCTCCTTTCATCTCATTACTCCTTGCTTATCCCTCGTCCTCCTCTTCACTTCATCTCCTCCCGTTTCCTCCTCCCCTCTTCGCCTCTCTCCTCCTTTCACACGCTACTCACATGCTGCTCATTGGATTCGCTCGACGAGCCTCGGCTCATGAGGAAGCCTGAAGAAGACCTTCCCCCACCTTCAGACCTCCCTTGCTCGCGACCGCCAGCTCACCGTCTCAGCCCGCTGCTGTACCACCTCCCTCCCTTCTCGCTCTTCTCAATCTGCTCAGTCAAGGAGGTGAATCATAGAGTAAAGTGTCCTCCTCCACTCTAACCTTGTCTGCTCGAGGAGACTGCAGTAGTGCCCAGAGTTTGGAGTCTCCCGTGCTGCTGAGAGGTTTGCCCTGTTGTCCATCAGCCTGTGCTCGGCTGCCAAGTCTGACCCACCTGACTCGAGCTCTGCTGGGAGGATGTGCTTCTAGTCTCATCGTCCGCTACTGTTCAGGAGAGAAGGAAAGGTGAAGAAGAAGAAGAAAAAGAAGAAGAAGAAGAAGAAGAAGAAGAAGAAGAAGAAGAAGAAGAAGAAGATAATGATGATGATAATTGTGGTGTTGATGACGATGATTATGTTCATGGCGTAGATGAAGGTGAAGCGCAACGATGATGAGCAGGAAAGAAGAAAGATATTTCAGTTTCACGCGTGCAGGCTGTAGGAAGGGACCTTCTCGCTCCTGCCTGCGAGACCACAACATGTTCTTCACCGACGACATGCTGTCTCATGCATCATATAGCAGGAAAAGAAACAGAGAGGGAGCAGCAGACCTGCTTGACTTCTTCAACACCATCATGTTGTCATCTTGTGCTGCAGGAAAACCTCACGATGAAATTTGCACTCCTCATCTCCTCTCTTTCCTCCTGCCCTTCTCTCCTCCTCCCCTCCTCCCCTCCTCCCCTTACCATTCGTCGATTGCAAGCTTCCATCGAAAAACTGTTTTCAAGGTCTTCACTTGAACTTTCACTTGGTGTCTACAAGAATTCCCACCTCTTCGTGATGATCTTCGGCTCCGATCACGTGACCCCCGGTCAACCAGTTCTCGCTGTCCGAGGAGTCAAAGTCCGGATGACCCTCGCTGCTGCCCCCCGATCCCGACAAGAGCCTGACATTTCTGTTCAATCCTCCGCCTCTCCTGTCCTCTCCTCTCCTCTCCTCTCCTCTCCTCTCCTCTCCTCTCCCACCTCCCCTCCTCTCCTCTCATCTCTCTCCCTCCTCCTCTTCCGTACCTTCCATGCTCGCTTCCTCCGCTGCTCCCCCCCGACAAGAATCTGCCGCGTGATCATCATGCGGCTGTAGGGAAAGAAGGATGCAGGGACCTTTCGCGTGAGAGCATGTGGTAGGAGGAAAGCGCAGCGACTTCTCGCAGGCTTCCCTTGCTGCTGGGAGAGAAACCGGACGGCGAGTCGCTCCCGGAGGCCTTGGACTCCTCGGACAGGGTGCTGAGCCTGGCTGGGGACTCAGAGGAGACGGGTCCGTCACTTGCTCTACCTCCTGCATGCGTTGCAGACCCGCTGGTTCTCCCTGCGGTAGCCCTTGGCCTGAGGAAAGGATGAGGAGCGGCGGAGAGAGAGGAGGCAGCTTCCTCGTTGTAGAGGTCCATCCGGTTGTGGCTGCAAGACGAGCACACGACCCTCCCGCACTTTCGGCCTGTGCATGGCCTTCAAGGCGAGGAGGAGGAGGAGGAGGAGGAGGAGGAGGAGGAGGAGGAGGAGGAGGAGGAGGAGGAGGAGGAGGAGGAGGAGGAGGAGGAGG